TACAATAAAGACTACTTTGTTAATATTTAAAAAAAAGTAAAACAGTACTAGGGAAGTGTTAAACACTGTTACAAACAAGTTCTATTAAGTTCTATGTTTACTAACATGTGTAGAATACTAACAGGACAAAGGTATCTTTGTTACAGTTAGGAATAAGAACTAGTCTATATATATATAAGAACTCACCTTTGTTACAGTTAGGAATAAGAACTAGTATAATAAAGGTGAAAGATTAAAACTATATATACTAGAAATAAAACAAAGGTGACTTATACTTAAAGGGGAAAACAATGTAAAAGATAAAAAGGGGAGTGTATACACTCTAAGAATAAAGAGTATGTAACTCAGACAATAAGGAAACATAGTATAAAGACAAAAGAGAAAATGTGTGTAACTCTAAGGTTTATACTAAGAAGGTTTATACTTAAGAGAAGGTCTAGGTTCAGAAATGTGGTTCTACACTAGGAGAGGTATAGAATAGTACAGAAACTGTTATAAACTGTAGGGTAGGCTTACAACATAAGAGTAAAGGCTAGCTAAATAAACTATAAGTTTAAATTATAAAGAATATATAAACCTAGTTATGTATCTAACAGAATTTAACAAATTCCTTAACAAAATCTATAGTAATTTATTAACATATTATAATACTATAATACACATAGACAAAGAATAGTAGATTAAAGTTATAAAGGATAAAATACAGTCACTTTAACAATGAAACACATAAATATATACTATCCCTCCTACAAATACAAATATAATTAGAACAAAATTTGTTTATAAAATCAAAAGACTAGCTAATAGCTAAATAGACAAATACAAAGTACAATTTGTAGTGTAAGAATACACTCAAAAAAATAGAATAGACTTCTATTCTGACAACTTATTTGCTCTAGTAACAAAACTATTAACAGTATAATTATTGTTATCTTAGACAGTATTTAAGAACTACAAAATACATTAGATTAATGTAAAATCCACATATCTTTACAGAGAACTAAATGAGGACAAACTCATTTATGTGAAACTACTACTAAGTAAGTTACTTATAGATATTAAACCTAGACAAGTATTATACTTAAATAAAGTATTATACAGATTAAAATAAGTAAGTAGACAATAGTATAAGAAGATTACCAAACTACTACTTAAGATCAGATTAGAACAAGCTAATTACAATTATACTGTATTTTATAAGAAACAAAATAATAAAATGATTCTTGTAACATTTATACACATTAACAATATTACAATTATTAACAAAACTATTGTTATAATAATAGTATTTAAACATACATTAAGACAACACATTTTATTTACTAACAGTAACAAAATACATTAGTTACTTAGTATTAAAATAAGCTAAGATAGACCTTAACAAATAATTAGCTTATAGTAAAAGCATTATATTGAAAGTATAATCAAGCATTACTACTTTGAAAACAAAAAGACACTACAAACACTTATTACTCCTAGAATAGATTTATCTAATAATACAAACAATATGTACAATACAAATGAAAGTAATAATGAAACAACACTATACATAAATATGGTAGAATTGTTAAGATATGTTGTAGATTGTATACAGTCAGACATATCTTATATTACTAGGCAATTAGTACACTACCTACAAAAGCCTTAAATGTATTACTACAAAGTAGTAAAACATTACTTTACATATTTAAAATATATAATAAATTACTAACTTCAACTTGGAAGTACAAATACCTTAAAACTATAAGACTATTATAATACAGACAGATGAATGACAGAAGGACATAAAGTAATAAACAGTTATGTCTTTCAATTAGTTAAATCAACTATATCCTAGTTAAGTAAATAGTAAAACCTGATACTACTATCTGTTTACAAAGTAGAGTTGTAAGTACTAGTATATACTACTTAAGAAGCTATTTGGCTCAAACAATTTACTAAAGAGGTACTATAGACTGAATCAGTACTTATTATAATTTATTACAATAATCAAGGTGTAATAAAAACTGTAAAGTCTGACAAAATAATATACAATACTTGTACTAAACACCTTGATTTATAAAAAGACTTTGTATAATGTTACATTCAAAACAATTATATTAATGTATACTATGTCTAATTACAGAACCAATTAGCAGACATTCTTACAAAAGCTCTCTACATTCTATAGATCAAGTATCTAAATAAACTATTAGACATACAGTCCTAGTTCTTAATTAATACTTAAAGGAGAGTATTAGATTGTACTCTAGATTAGGAAATCCCTAATTGCCTTATGTAGAGTTACTATACTTAGAATGTCTCAGACTATTAGACTTTACTATGTAGTATATAAGGTAGACACTTGCTTAATGTCTTAATAAGAGAGAGTTTAGAGCACTCCTACTACACTTGTTAAAAAGGTGTTTAAAGTACAGAATTCTAAGTCTAGTATACAAAATCTTAAGTATATAGTTAGGTATTATACTAACTCCTCTTACAGATAAGAGTAACACAGTAGTTGAGACTACTACTAAGACTACTATTATAGAGTCTAGTAATTCTGAGGAAGAAGCATTTGGTACTATACAGTTGAGGGAGAAGTGTTCTAAGTAGAAGAGAGACATTTTAACAATTATAAAGACTATCTCTTTAAAGAGGAAGAAAGGATACAAATACTCTATCTGCTTATAGGTTCTTATATACTGTTCTACTATTTTTCTAATTTTTTTAAAGGGCTAAGTGTGTAGAACTTTAAGCTCTTGAATGTTCCTTTAATTCTATTCAGGTTGACTTTATAAGTAATACTACTACAATCTACAAATACATTACTCACAATTTTGAAGACTATTTTGTACCTTACTAGAGAGCTTGTAAAGAGAATAGTCTTACTTTCTATGAAAAGTATCTTTCACTCTCTGATTTGATACATTTCACATGTATAAAGGAGGTAGGAGGAAATAGTAAAATACAAATAAAAGTGTATGTTTACTTATTTTCTTTTTTAATAATTAATATTCTAACAATACTTTTACTTAGGAATAATGGGTAGTAGTCTCTTAATACTTTCCTTCAACCTGCTACTCAAACATAGATAAAGGAAGAGCTTTAGGAACTCATTCTAAAGTTTATTCTTGAAAATAACTAAGTAATTCTCTTTTATTACTATTTCTACTGTATTAACTTGCTTTTCTAGACTCTCATTATAGTTGATTCCAAGTCCTTTAGGGACTTGCTGAATTATTAGTAGGGAATCAAGGTTAGGGACTCAGACATACCTTACTACTCAAAAATTACTGAGTGTATTGAGTTACATACTTTAGATGTTTAGTAGACTCTTATAACTAAAATAAAAGTATGTAAATCATTTCCTTAGATTCTTCTTCCTGTAGAATGTCTTAAATGAAATATATACTTTACAGGCCTCTCCTAGGAGAATTTCCCTTACTTTTAATGAGTAGACTTTAAAACAAATGACAAGCTTTATAATAGTTATATACTATTTTGTTAATGACAAATAGTACCTTGTCTTACATCTTATCTCTTTTTGTGAACTTGATGGAACTCACTCTGAAGAAAACCAAGCTTAGTATCTTTATAATGTAGTCTTCAAGTTTAAGATTACTTCCAAGGTATGTTCTATCTTTTAATTAGATTAATATACTAATTTTTTACTTTCTTAAGTTATAAATGTTACATCTGACAATGTTAGTGTTAATAATACTACTCTCTGTATTTTTGCCCAGGTCTGTCTTAAGGAAAATCAAGTAAAGTTTAATGTGAAGGATCAGAGATCCTAGTAAGTTATTTACTTACTTCTCTTTATGGACAACACTGAAAATACAAATTTTAGTTGTTATTCTTATACTATTACTTTAGTAACACACACCTTCCTTAATACTCTCAGTAATAACAAGCTAAAGGATAGAGATAGTAGTAATGAGGAAGAAGTAGATGACAAGTCTCTTCTTACAGATGTTGAGACTATAATAGAGGCTGATAAGTGTATTAGTAAGGATTAACAGGTCCTTACTAAATTGTTAGTAAAGGTCTAAGCTTTTGTTTCCAAGGTTAGTTTATATAATTTACTTACTTTCTTTATTCTATCTACTCACTGATTTTCTTTCTTTCTTTCTTTTTCTTACAGGTCTACTACTCACTAGTAGTAAAAAAATACTTTAAGTCATGTGTCCAAATGACACACTAAGCTAATAAGAAAGTGAAGAAGTTACAGCTTATAGTATACTGTACTACACACTAGGAAACATAGTAGGAAGTGTTAGACTGTATACTAGTACTATAAAAGGTGTGTAGTATAGATATATAGATGAACACACACCTTAAAACTGACTTGTTTTGTTAGACAGTATTGTTCTTTGTAATAACTGTAGACAACTCCAAACAAGTTCCAAGGGTTAGTTATAGGCAGGCACACTATAAGACATACAAATTTTCAGACAGAGAATGGGCCCTCATGTTACAAGTTTTGAATGTACTTAAGGTGAATACTGATCTTTTTTCTTACTTCTACATTGTCTTTAGTATAATAAATCTGAGTGTCTAAACATTCCTTCTATAGTACAAACAGTTTTGTATAACAACCTCAGCTTTCTCAGCTTGTTAGAGGAGTATGCTTGTTCTAACTAGATGATTCCTAATACTATTGTGTCTATCTAGAAAGAGGTTTGTCAATATTGTGTAATATGTGTGTATTTGACTAAAATCCTTGTGTAGTAACACTGTATAATATTGCCTACTTATAAGGGCTGGTACAAACTGGTCTACAGGAGTATCTAGAGCAAAGAGACACAAGCCAAGCTTAATCAAAAACCCTGGGTGGCCAAGCAAATCATTGTACTACAAGTAAACAAACTGTTATAAGTATTGTTAGAATACCCTCTGTAGTATTTGCAAATTCATACTGTAGGACTACTTTCTTAACTAGTAGCAGGTCTAAAACGTTTTACTTTGGGTACTAAACTGTAACAATACTAGTCTAATACCTGTCTAAGCCTTTATAGACAGAAAAGCTGATTCTTTGTTTAACCATACTATACAGTATAAATATCTATTGTTCTCTTGTTCTAATGTTGTTGAATCCAGTTTATGATGATAGTATACTAGTTGAAAATAGTAAGATTATCTTTAACATTGTTGAGGAGAAGACAGACAGTGTATTGTAAGGTGTTTCAGTGAGAAGGTACTTGTACACTCTTTATAGGACAGTAACAGGTTATTAACTACTAGTTGTTCTATAATGTATTCAGTACTAGTATTAGTAACACAGTTACAGACAAGATGACTATAGCATACATTACAGAGCAGATTTAGATGTGAAAGCAGAATATTGTAAGGACTGTTAAGGATACATTAACAATCATCTGAAAGTAGTACTGAGTATAACTATTTACAAGGCTTTTAAGAGTAGGGTTGAGTGTAAGACAATGTTAGACAGATAGTTAGTACTGGTTTGAACAGTTTGCTCATTAATGTCTCACAAATGTTTGTTTGTGTTGAGTAATAGTCTGTAGAAGGAAAGTGTATACTATTTAGTATTAGGTATTGTGTATTGCCTCATTTTATAAGAGATGATTTCAGTCTAGCAACAACCTATGAAGGTGCTAAAAGACATTTGTTTTTGTCTACTACAACAGTACTGAACAAATTCCCTTAGTAATCTTATTCTGTTTGTCTATAGTAAAGATAGTATAGACAGTGCTTTTATTACATACTGGACAATCCAAACGTTCAGCATTAATGATTACAAGTTCAAACATTACTATTATGTTAATGTCACTAACCTAAAGGGTGGCTTCCTGTCTAGAGTTCTCTAACTTGTATTAATGACACAGCAGTTTAGCTCTAGGAGAAACTTAATACAGAGTATAAACATCTTCTTAAGGACTAAAGATTACTTTACAAATAGAACATTTCCAAATACTATAGTTACTGTGTCTTGAGCTTGATTAGTCAAAGATGCTTGACAGAAAACTTATAATAAGCTACATTACTAGCTGCATTTTCCTTTTCTATTTTGCTATTGTATTATACAGTACATTAGCTAACATACTTTGTTTCCTGAATAGTCTTACAGCTCTGTATAACAAGTTTTCTTGTCTAAGACAGTACCTACTATATTTCAAATTCTTCTAATGTTTGAGGACTTCCATAATAAGCTTAAAGCCTTTAAATACAAGACTAGCTTTGAGCTACTAGTACTAGCTATTAATAATACTCTCAAGACAGTTAATAAGTATTATAGAAAGGTACAACAGTCTTCTGTCCAAGTTGTATGTATCTGTATGTATTTTTTCTTATATTTCTCTTTTATTCTTTTACTTATTCATTTAAGATCTTACTGTTGTTTTCATAAATATTGTCACATGTATAATTTGTGATTTTCATTACACTAAATACACTCAAATACAAAATCTACTATAACTTAACTAATACTTAACCAAATTACATGATCTAAGTTGTAAAAATTATACTTTTGAAGTATCTTTCATATTCCAGAAAAACTGAAGTAAAATGAGCAAAAATTGAGTAAGATACAATACAATATGTGAGTTTTCCCTATATTTCATGTATATAAGTTTTCCTGACCCTAAAACTGATTGTACAATACTATAAACTAGTCTAAATGAAGAATATAACTTTATTATTAATTTACATATTGAATTCTAACTAGGATACAGAATATACATATAAGTATAATACATATTTAAGTTTGCTAAAATTGAGCATTTCCCTCTAACCTCTCTACACTTAGAGAAGGTTCTTCTAAGTATTATTTATGTTTGTAAATTCATTCCAAATAAATTAGACTAGTTTCAAACAGTTTTAATAGACTTAGTATGGATTTCTAGTCTAAATAAAGTAGAAAGTCATTATTCTATATACTACTTTAATAGTACTTCTCTAACTTATATAACTTTACTATAACTTATAAAAGTACTTATATTTAATATATTTTGTTTATACTAAATTTACAAACATGAATAATACTTAGAAGAACCTTCCCTAAGTGTAGAGAGGTTAGAGGGAAATGCTTAATTTTAGCAAACTTAAATATGTATTATACTTATATGTATATTCTGTATCCTAGTTAGAATTCAATATGTAAATTAACAATAAAGTTATATTCTTTATTTAGACTAGTTTATAGTATTGTACAATCAGTTTTAGGGTTAGGAAAACTTATATACATAAAATATAGGGAAAACTCACATATTGTATTGTATCTTACTCAATTTTTGCTTATTTTACTTTAGTTTTTCTAGAATATGAAAGATACTTCAAAAGTATAATTTTTACAACTTAGATTATGTAATTTGGTTAAGTATTAGTTGAGTTATAGTAGATTTTGTATTTGAGTATACTTAGTATAATAAAAATTATGAATTGTATGTGTGACAATATTTATAAAAACAACAGTAATCCATACATTAAGGATAAATACTTTAGAACTTTTAATACTCTTAATAACACTAAAGTTATTAATAAGAAAGCTATAACTGTTATAAACAAAATAGTAAGTAATGTCTTTAACTTTTTCTTTATTTTATTAACTTTCTACCCTAGTTTAATAAGTATAAAGATGAAATCTGTTAAAGGACTTTATAAGTAAGTAGAAAACATTTATAGTATATTTTTCTACCTTTTTCTTAGAGTTATTAAGCTTCTTCAGAGGTTACACTAAGAAGTCTACTACTAAATGTAAAGCTACTAACCTTATCTTTGTTTACCTTAAGTATGAGTTACTTAAAGACTACTATAAAGTATTGTCTACAGTATAAAAGCTCTATACCTAAGGTAACTTAAGAGGAACTTCTTTACTACCTTAAAGATCCTCTTGTTAAGAAAACAGACAAGTTTAATATACTTACATGGTAGAAAGTAAGTAGAGCTTATATATTTCATTTATTTCTTATACTAATACTCTTTTTTAGAAGAATAGTATTTGTTATCCAATTCTTACTTACATAGCTTAGGATTACCTTACTAAAGCTTGTAAATACAAAGTAGTGTAACTAACTTCTTCTAGAAACTTTTAAAGTAATTGAAATTCTTAAAACTTATTATTATTCTCTTTATAAATAGTCTAGTATAAAGTACTAGCTATATATTACAAAAAAAAGAATAGACACTATTTGTTGTAGAATACTTGAACTTCTCTACTTACATTAGGGATACACTCTTAAGTTGACTATAAGTATAAGTTCTACTAGTCTAGGTCATACTTAGACTAGACCTGGACTAGACCTTAGGTCTGGTTTACAAATGTTTAGGTTCAGGTCCCTCCTTTATTTAAACTATATAAAGAGGTTCAAGTTATAGTCTAGGTAAAGGAGGGGTAGACTAGTCTAAAACTAAACTATAGTAACTATATACTTAATATTTAGACTGTCAAAACAGTAAGTGTCTCAGATTAAAAAAAGTAACTAGAACTAGTTTCTTGTCTAACACTAATCCCTTATCTAGTACTAATCCCTTATCTGAGAAAGGAGAGAATTGTACAATACTTTTACAGTACATTAAGTAATGTAAATTAGTAACAAACACAGTATTAGTACATACTTCTTATAAAGTAAAAATATAAAAGTACTATTATTCTAGCTAAAACAGACATTAAGAAGAACAAGTATAGTCTATACTCTATAAATCTTCTTTAGTATCTTCTCTAACACTTAGTTATTATTTACTATCCTAATCTTCAAGTCTGTCTTATATTAACTATCTGTTAGTTTAGGATTCAGCTTGACAGTCAGATAACAAGCTTTCTTAGATTTTCTACCCTAATCAAAGTTAACTAACATTATTTCCTTATTAGTACAGATAATGTTTGTATTACACAGATTACTATGAATGAATTCTGTTTTGTAAAACAAGTCTACAAGATACTACAGCTTACTTACCTACTACTCTTAACAATCAGACAGTTTTTGTGTACAGAGAATTGGTACAACTATTAGGTAATAATCTATTGTGACTATATGCTAGCTACTAGACAGTTTGTTAAAACTACATATTTTTGACACATGACCTGAGTCAGTATAAAACTTGTAGAGATCTATTAAGTACTACTATATAAACTTTACAATAATCTCCTCCTTATTGTCTGTCTTAGTAATGTACAAGAGCTAGGAGTCTTGTTAATTATTATACTATTTAGCAATGTAGAAATTACTGCCTTTTTCATAAGTATTGTCACACTTGATAATTCATTATTTTTTGTCACAAAAGTAAACAAAACAAAAAAATAACTATTTCTTACTCAATTCTGTACAGAATTCAGTAATTATTTGACATAATTTTTTTTTTAAATATGCTTCAAATAGAAACTTTAATTATTAAATTTGAGCAAGATTTGACTGAGTTATAGTGAAAATACACTGTTTTTCATGTTTTCTTAATA